TGGAGACTCCAAGCTGAAGCTGATGCTGTAGCTGTAGCTGAAACTGATGCTGGGGTCTTCAGCATTTGCCATCTCGCTCGCACGCTCGCTAGCCCCGCTTAACGACCACAAATTCAACGGAAAAAATGGCGTTTAACTGTAACTGTGGGCAATGTGAAACATTTTCGGGTCAGGTGCTGCCAACGAGATTTCACCAAACAGCCAACGCCCCACAGTTTTCATTATCTTACGGTAATATCGCACATAAAGCTTTTGACTTTTGCTTGTATGTTGCTCTTTCATCATCATCATCGTCGGCATCATCAACATTATCATTATCAGCATCATCGTCATTATGATGATCATTTGGTCAGCCTTCGCACATCTTGCGCTGATCTTTAGACACAACTACAACTGCAACAACAACAACTGCACACACACACACACACACACACACACACGCACAGCTCGTTATGGTTTTCTACATGCCTGGCCTGGCTCTGTGCCCGTGCAATATCTACACAAGCTCGCCTTTTGCTGTTTATTTTATTGTATTGTATTTGCTGTATTTTTTTGGTGTTGCTTTTCGTTTGGTTATTGCGCAGATTTATCTTAGAGTTTGCTCTTTTGATTGGTACGCTGTATACAGTCTTTGTTGTTGTTTTCTTTTTATTGCCCGTCGTTTGTTTTGTTGGGTCAACTGCTTTGCTGCAATTTCCGGTGAACAGGGCGCCGAAAAAGAAGCCAAATTTTAAATTGTGTCCAATTTGGTGTCGGTTTTAATAAAAAAAAAAAAGGTGAAAGAGACGCCGCAGCTAAGCGTACAGCTATTGCATTTTAGTACAAACGTTGGAAATTTTAAAAAATTGTGCCAGAAAAAGTTTCTTCTTAAATAAAAAAAAAATAAGGAGAATTTCACCTAATGCCTGCCCGCGCTCTTGATTTATCATAGGTGAAAAATGCAAATAAATTTTAACAATAAAAAAAAAAAAACATAAATAAAGTAGAAAGTCTTTAAAAATAATACTAAAAGTAAATTTAATCATTTTTTTGACCAACCAGGTTACCAAGAATGTCAAAAGTAAAATCAAGCGTTTGAGCTGGCTACTCAGCTCCAATAACAAGCTCTCGCTCCGAAACAAGGTCCTTATCTATAAGGTAATCCTAGCCCCCGTGGCGATATGGGCTCCAAGTTTACGGTATAGCCGCAAAATCTTACTTTAGCAAAGTTCGCATTATATAGTCTAAGACCTTTTGAAGCATTTCTAGAGCCGAATGGTATATTCGCAGACGGGACATTGCAAAAGACCTTAAGGTTGCAATACCTATTTAAGCTCCACAACCACCCTATCGTCCTGGCAAGGAACCTGCTAAGGAGGCCAAGAAGAAGGAGGCTTAGAAGGACCTACCCAACAGATTTAGTTGATCGATGCCTTCAGTGTAGCAGGCAGATCCTCAGCCAAACATAATATAAGCTTGTCTATCCTAAACTAAATGAACATATGTATATACCATTTACTAACTGTAAATATCTAAACTTAGCTACCTTAAACCAAAAGCTATTGGTAAACTATGAATCCCTCGATCCTCAACATAATAAAGTTTCTAGACAACAGTATATCAGATAGTAAAAAAATTATTCCCCATTATATATGCTAATATTAAAAAGTGAAAAATACATTTAAATTTCATTGATTTAAAAGAGCCAAAAGAAACGTATGCAAAACTATTTTAAGAACAATACAATAAATTTAATAAAATCTTTAATTCTTAGGATCAAATTTAAAAAATGAAGCCCATTATTAATGTTAATTTAAAGTGAAAAATTCAATTAAATACATTAATTTAAAAAAGCCAAAAGAAACATTTTTAGGAATAATACATCAAATAAATCTAATAATTTCTTTTATTCGTAGAGTACAAGTTAGAAAATGAAGCTCGTGTTTTAAGTTCATTTTCTGTTCAAGATAAATTTTCTTCTTCTTTGTGTCTTTAGTTTTAAAAATTGTTTTTCGAGTGAAATATTTGAATATTAACACATACAAAAAACTAATTCACATAAAAAATGTTCTTTTATTTTACTAAACAGATATAATATGAACGGCTATAATACAATATTTCTCCATTTATGCATCTGATTCACATAGATAATACTCTTCTTTGAACTGAGCACATCAGCTATAAAATAATATCGCGCATCTCTCTCTAAATCATATTAATCAGTTTGAGAGGTATGTTATGCAAAACAAAACAAAACAACAAAAAAAAAAATGGATAGTACTCTACAAAATGTACTCATATCATTGCTCATATTAAACGTGCTGTAAAATTCCGATGCTTTAACGGACAACTGGTTTTAATTACCAACTCAAGCGAACAGAACTGTGAATAATGTCAGCCTATTAAAATGACACATTGTTTGTTGCAGCACCCGTGGGTCAAGGATAATGATTGGCCAGCTAAAAGTTTTCCAGATGGCAACAACAACAAATTGATTACACACGCACTATGGCTATGGTTTAATCATTACGTTTAAATCTAATAGGGCAGCCAGTTCCAGAATTTTGTATATCCTATACACAAGGTAAATAGGTTAAAGCGGGTATATTAAAATGTAAATATATCAACTATTTATTCATAGACGGATATATTTAATCTCCAATATATACCAGTCTTTAAATATAAAAATATATCTATTTGTAATAATAATTTTAGAAAAAGACGGGTATATTGAACATGTAGAATATATATGTATATACTGTTATATTAAATATAAATACATATATTTAATAAACCAGTGTCTACTTATTATATTTATAACAAAAGGAAGCAACCCTGATCTTAGGATATTTTCTCCTGATCAATAATTAACTAATAAAATCAAATTAATCAAAACTTGTTTGCGATTATATATATGGTAGATTAGGAATTTTGAACTGTTTGATATGTACACTTATGTGAACACAATATTTAGGACATTAATTATTATCAATTATAGCAATCGGACAATATTAATGAGAACTACTTCTAAAATGATTACTCCATAGAATGTAAATACATAATTAATAAAGTATATATACTGCGGCTGGCTACAGGGTATCTTCTATTTGGAAACTTTCCAGTAGAGCACTTATGCCTTTTTGTTTGCAACAACATTTCTCATTTTGTTTTATAGCTTTGCCCAATGACGGGAAGGAGGGCAGGAGGGAATGGTTGCGGCCACTGGGGTCAAAATTGCACACTCGGAACGCTCTCATCAACAGCAACAGCAACACATGTCATTGTTACAGGTGAGCTGTCCCCTGTTCGCTGTTCGGTGCCTGCTGATTTGAATGCGTTGATAACACAGCGCGATCTCTGCTGCAGCCGCTGAGTGCCCGGCAATGCCCCCAGTTTCGGAGCCAGCTCCATTCCCATTCCCATTTCGTACGCCTGACAAAACGCACTCCGCACGTACCGCTAATTAGCGCGCGTTTTAAGGCCCCCACCAGGCAGCCGGGCGCACGAGTCGACGGCCATTACGAACACAGACACACACACATATATATAATGCACATTAGGAGGAGTTAGTGTAACAACTGAGCTGACGGAATGGCATGTGTTTGTTATATGACAAATTCTTGCCATATGGGCAGGTTCATTAATTGAAGAAAATAATTGTTTGTGGAGCTCTTTTGTGCATTCCCCAATCGGCAGATATACAAATTCGATTGATAGCACTTCGATAACATAAAATATATATATAATATATATTTTTCTACTCATTTTACTCTATTTAAAGTTGTCATCCTAATTTAACTTATTTTTAATTTTAAAAAAATAGTTATATTTGGAAGACTCTTTGTTGGATTAGATATGCCAATACGAATCAAAGCTCAGCGATAATATAAAATATAAATAATATTAAATATAATATTTTAGACTTTTCAACGACTTTTCTTTTTGTTTCACGTAGTATAAAATATATATATTATATTATTATATTTTATATTTTTTCAAGGCCTTTTTCTTCATTCGTTCAAGTAAAATTAAATGTATTTGTAATATAAAATATAAATGACATGATAATTTACATCTTGTCCAGTTTCAAGATGCCTTAATATGCAAATATTACGTCCTCCATGCTCACATTATTAACGAAGCCAAATCTACTGAGAACCCTATTTATCCCTCTTTAATAGAGTTATTATTGTTTACATCCAAATATCGACCTAAATATATTTCCTTTATCTTTTCTCTTGAAATCAATAATAATTTCCTCCCTGGTCACGTTGACGCATCAACTCTTCTTAAGAACTTGGCACATTCTTTTTACCACTTTACCTCACATAATCGTATATAAATTGTCATCAAATGGCCCTTTGCAATTTCGACTGTCTACATTTAATTTCTTTAAAATCATCCTCCATGGTCACAATACTTAAGATATTACCTAAAATAACCTAACTCTATTGCAGCACTTCTGATTAATATCGTCATTCAAATTGGAATTTTGTAGTACTTACCTTTATATTATCTCCTCCTCACGCACTACCAATTAAACATTATACTTCTGCTTGGCAACAAGACACGCCTGCTTTTTTCTTTAAACCGTGCCAGTTTAAAGTGTGGCTCAGGGAATAGAAATTATAAACAGCTCCTTAAAATATACAACAGTTCCTTGAGTTTCTCAAGCTGCATTTCGCGAAACAGCAACATGCCTAAAAGAACACAACACAAAATTATACGAAAAGAACTTTTTAAATGTTTTTGAAATAAATTTGCTTTTACCTAGTAATTCGTTTTATATATTTTTCGGTTTTCGTTTTCAACACAAGAGCACATAATTATATTTCAATATTTTCGTGTAAATTTCTCGTTGACACTTAAATGCTAAATATTATGTACAAATATCCATCGGTAGAGTTGTGTTTGTGTGTGTGTGTGTCCTTTTGTGTGTGTGGCCTAAGTACTACAAAAACTCGTGTTTTAGCTCAAGCATTAAATCAACAAAAATAGTTTTGATAGCTTGCGGAAAGCTGTTGTAGAATTTGAATTCTTGTAAATAGGTTTGTTTAGTTTACAAGCGAGTGCGGCGATTAATTCATGTCTTAAATCTGGCTATTTCTCTTTACTCACTTTGTCTGTGTTGTATATAGATATGGAAGGAACAATGGACGACATATGCGAACGCATCACAGTCGTGTCGTTGTGTGTGTCTGTGTGTGTGTTTATGTCTTTTGATTGCTTAAGAGAAGTAGATAACTGCAACGAGTATTCAAAGCGTAATCTTGTTTGAAATGAGTATTCAGCTCGAATGAGTAGGGCTCATGCGTGTGATACAAAGCTGAGGCGCAAATTAACGTATAAGTGCGTTTATGAGTAGCGTGCCTGCAAAAATATTATAAAATAAATATTTGTATGTTAAAATAATGAAAGGTACACGCAAAATAAAAGTACTCATTGCAGCACTCTTTTAAGTACCCAAATATTAGTAATATTAGTAATAAGTAATTGCTTACTCTGGCAACATAAATGCAAAACGTAACATCAACTTTTAACAAATTGTTTTTGGTTATTTTTTATAATTTTTTTTTTTAGCTCTAGGCTTTCAACATTTTGGCTACCAAAAAACATGTAACGGCTTAAAAACGCTAAACAAAATTCGTTTCACATTTGCTTCATTTAACAAATATTTATGGGATTTGCGAGTGTGAAAAATGGTCGAAAAACATTTAACGCATTATTTCAAATGCGAAATGTTTTCTTTCTTTTTTGTTTCCTTTTTTTAGCCATATAATGTGTTAATTACTTTTGTTAATTACTTGTTTACTATTAAGTACATATGTATAAGTTAGTTAGTTGCTTCCAACTCTGGACAAGACACACATTCAGCAAATTGCTCATATCATCAATATGTTAGTGAAAGATCGTTTAAAACATGGACTAGATGGGGTTGTGCATAGAAAAACTATTTACAATGTGCGCTCGGGATAGCTAGTATTCGATTTTGGTTAAGCTTAATTATCCGTATGATGATGCTGTTGCTGTTGCTGCTGCTGCTGATGATAATGCAGAGAAGAGCCAGCTTGGGTGGACGACGAGACTGATGTTGTTGTTACTGTTGGTGCAGGCTTTAGCGCAGGTCTGATATCATCAATTTGTATTAGCTGCTCGATGGGTATTAAAGACAGTTCACCGCCCACGGCCTGAGGCATTGGCAGCTTAGCCAGAGCCTGTAAAAATGGAAAAAGATTATAATATAGTCGTTGAAGTAGCAGAAATTGTAATTCTTGCTCTCTTACCTTGGCATGCTCTACGGCAATGGTAGCCGCCTTTTCCGCCTCGCGCTGTCTTCGCTCCTTTAGCTTGAGCGAGAATATGGCCACAGATCGCGCGCTTTTCACCAACTTCTGTTTGAGCCGCGATTTCTTGGCCGCCAACTCGGCAGCTATAGTGAAAAAATAATGGAAATTAATGAGATTACGAGTTAAATTGATAGTGTTACACAACTTTTTTAATTTACTTTAAATAAGATAAAACCAATTCGCAAATAAATTTAATTCTTGCTCACAGTAACTTCCACTTCCACCCAGTGGGGTGAATTTTCCAAAAAATGTGAAACTCGTCTTTGAAAAAAAAATAAATAAACGATAAATAATAAATAAATTAAATAATAAATAAATAAATTCACACACAAATAGTCTCAAGTGACAAGACGTTTCTGCACTGTACTTTGTTGAGCAATCAATCAATTTGTCGATCAATCAACCAGAACAAGCAGTTTTTTTATATTTAGATAGCTTCACTGACTTACCCTTTGTCTCATCATCTGTATTGCCAGCGGATGTGGAGGCAGTGGCCGCCGCTGCCTGCTCCTGTGCCTTATCCCGGTCCTCCTTCGACTGCTTTTGCGGCTGCTGCTTCTGAGATGAACCCGATGAGGAATTGGATAATGCGCCAACGCTGGGCCGTGACTGGGAATTGCTGATGCTAATGCTGCTGTTACCGGCGACTGGACCAGCACCACTCGGACTGAAGACACTGCCACCGCCTCCTGATGAGGATGACGAGGACGCGACAATTTGCTGCTGCTGCTGTGTAGCTGGTGGTGTGGCCAGCATGATACCCGGAGCGCCGGTCTTGAGTGCCACATTGCTCCAGGATGGCGCAGGCTTCAATACATCCGTGTTATCTGCATTGCTTGCGAGTTCCTTGAGATTGATATATGTATAATAAAGGGGCTGGATTAAGTATTGGATCGGCTAACTGACTCCATACACATAACTACACACACATTCAAAGCTTGGTTCATGCACATGAGATTGGGGCTTATGAGTATTTCAAGTCAGCGTGAAAAATACAGTGTGTGGGAGTGCAATAAAGCTGCTGCCATGCCGGAACTTAAACCTCAATGATAATATTTTATAACACAATATGAACTTCCTGCCAATCGGACTCAACTCTAAACAAAATGAAGCTCCAATTGCGAGGCAAACTTTTTTTTTTTAATATTTCAATATTTTTTATATATATACGGTTTTTTTATATGGTGATTATATAAGGAACTAGCACAACCCAATTTGAATGCAAATCGATTAACATATATCGTATATGGGGCTTTTATATCGGTTTATATGAGTATAACACGTCTATCCACTACCTTGGCAATACAATCTATGCTTCTATGCAGGCTCGCATTATCGTTGACTTTTAAACGGGACATCCATTCGGGTGCGTGTTGTTTAATATGTAGTTTATCCTTTAAACAGGAGAAGGATGTTAAAGTCACTTTCGATCAGTTATCGGTTAGGGAACAATTTGTGTTGTGTAAACAGATATTTGTTAAGAATGTGTTGCCTACAAGATTTATACTAAGATTCTGTAACATGATTCTAATTAGATCTTATTAGACCCTTCCGAAAATAACATTGTTAACGTATTCTCACTAACTATGAGATTGGAAACAGAATACCAATCAGTTCATAAGTGGACATGTCATTAATAATGTTGAACTAATATATTAAATTTGCTTACTTATACTTTTTAAGTACATATAACCATATAGGGTTTACCTAGCTTCAATAAAACATTAGTTTTAAAGGGCAAGGTGATGTGCATTACAGAAATCCTGTGTGCTTTTCCATTTGAAAGGAGAGTTTAAAAATAGCGTATTCAACTTTTATGTAGAACTTAAAAATTGAGTTTGAATCCGATCGGATAAATATTTCACTTTAGGACATAAACTTTATGTATAAAGATGCGACCTTTAACTTATATGTACATATCGAAAATATCTTTCAAGATGTATCTAAACAAATAAAACCTATTTTGCGTTAAACCTATTGAAATAGCATAGCCTTTTAGTCATGTGAAAGTGACACAGGGGACAATAAAAAGTTGATCAAACTACTCACTACATCAACCACAAATATTGCATTATTTTCTTGTGGCATGGGGTCAAATTACATATTAATTAGCACTAAGATACGTAGGTTAATAGTCAAGTATTGAGTTTTTTACTGATTGTCAGTCTACAAGAAAGTGTATTTCTATGGGATAAAATCAGATTGTGAGACCACTTTAAGAGATTGTGTGTGTGGGGGTGTGTTTGTGTGTGTGTATATCTAGGGGAAAATTAATTGGAATTGAATTATGCTGAGCTATGTCTTACGCTCATCTGCAATTGAGTTGCGCTCTCGGCGGATATTTTACGCGTCTTGCTGTACGGCGGAATCTCTGCGATTTTGGCCTGTTGCTGTTGTTGTTGTTGCTGCTGTTGTTGCTGCTGCAGCTGCTGTAGTTGAAGCTGACGCATCGAAGTGCGCTGTGGACTGCTGCTCGTACTGCTGCCAGTATGATCAGCCGAATCGCTTGATTTCTTACGGAACGGCGGTATTTCCGGAATATGCATCGATTGCAAACTTGAAGCGTAGCTGGCAGCGGCAGAGTTCAGGCCTAGCGTGCTAGCTGAAGCGCTGTTAGGTGCCATATTTCATAAGCGAGAGGAAAAAGAGAAAAAAGAACAAATATAGAGTGTAAATAGTAAGATGTTGAATAAAAAAGATTATCAAGCAGGGGTATTCCAGTAATCCATAAACTAATTTAGCCTTTTCTTAAGTTTCTTTTAGCCTTTTTCTCAATTTCGAACACGTTTGAAACGTAACTTTGTTTATATTCCGAAAGAAACTTTTTGTTTTCTTAAATTTTCAAATTGATTGCGAGTTGAATAAATCAAAATATTTTGAGTTTTAATATCTATTATATAAAGAACCTCTTAAATCCGTAATTCTCTTAAATTTTACTTTATGAATTCGTACAGAAATATTCATAATTCAGTTAATTAATATTATCAAAATAGAGAATTGTTCAATATTTTATTAATTATATTTTTAGTTAAAAATCATCATGAATAAAATTTGGAAAATTTCCTTTAACTTTTAAATTAATTATTAATAAGTAAATCACAAAATAAAGATGGGGCTTCTGTGATTTATTAATTAATTATTAATTTATTTGCATTCAATTAAGCGCATATAATTGCCATGAAATCATCTGCTGGAATACCCCTACCAATTATTTGAAATAAATAAATAAACAGCATAGTTCATATTAAATATTTTAAATAGTATAATAATTGATTATATTTAATAGAAGCAGCTTGTAAAGTGAAGAATTTGCCAATGAGAGAAATGTTTTGCATCACAAATTTTGCGTTTCGTAAAGCGAAAACAACAACACACAGCAAAAAATGAGAGCACAGCACAGATATAACAACAATATATCAATTGATTACATTTTTATTAGACATCTAAGTATTTCAGCTATAATGTAGACAATTTACCCGCTAAGCAGCTGTTGTTGTTGTATTCTTTGGCTGTGTGTTGACAGAGCACTCAAATTGCGCACCGAATATCCAAGAAATGGCGGTATTTCCGGTATAAAAACTTGCGATTTTTGCCTACAACTTTTACAAGCGCTATAAAAAGATTTATGGGCAAATGCATTTGTGGTATTATATTAAAAGGAAGGTCAAAGGTAATTGCAAAAAGAAATAATTAAATATATATAAATATACGACGATACTCAGAAGAAATTGTTTAAGTACTTTGAAATTGCGACTAGGATATTTATAAATGCGTGTGTGTGTGTGTGTGCTTGTGCGAGTTTGTGTGCTTTGAGTGCTTGAGGCATATATGAGCTTTATTATTCAGCCCTTAGACGGACCAAATTGACTTGGCGTGTGCGGAATACTTAACAGGTTACGCTAGCCGAGTTGCCAGCACTTACCCATTGCCATCCTGATGCAGGCTGCTCAGCGAGGCGCCACCGTGCGGCGGTGTCGATTCATGCAACGGTCTTATTAGAATTGTGCTCGTCTGCAAGGCATTTAGTTTTGTAAGCTTTAATATATTAATAGCACGCTCAGCTAAACACGCACCTGCGATGGCGGCGAATCGGGCGATGAGTCGCGATTCTCATAAATATTAACATCCGCCTCAATGCTGCGGCCATAATTGGCGGCCAGCTCGTGGCCATACAGCAGCATATCATCGGCCAGTTGACTCTCCATGGACTGATCGTGCGTGGTTTCGGCGCCCGTGCACTCCTGTTCCGGCTGTGTGGATGTGGTTGAGGGCGGCGTCGGCGGTGTGGGACGCGGTGAGGTGCCCTTGCACTGCATCTCGCGGCGACAATGCTCGGCGCGCGCTATCTCCGCCGCCAGCCAGGAGGGCAGTTCCGGCAGCAGCCAAGTCAACGCCTGCCGCAGTCCCAGCATGATGTGCTGTGCATAAAAAAAAGAAGAACGTGTCATATTAAATTTAAGATATCTATTAGATGAAAGATACTTGATTTGTCTAGCTCTTAAAACCTACGAGATTTACTAAAAGAAACATGATTTCGATATCGATTATTATCGATGGCTTAGAAACGGAGCAAGTTATCGATTATTGGAAGGAAACTCGTAGCTGTACTCGCCACTAGGAGGACATACGTTTAAAATTTCAATATATATCTATCACTTATAAGACTCCTTCATATATACGAACCGACGGACAGACACACGGCCATAAAGGCGGAAAGACATGGCTAGATCCACTAGGCTAATGATGCTGATCAAGAATATATATACTTTATGGGTTTGGAGATGCTTCCTTCTGCCTGTTACATACATTTGCACAATACAACATTACCTGTCTCAGTCTCAATTGGACTGTGCGTTAATTGCTAATCAGTCAGTAAGTCAGGACAGATTGGATATAAATCGGCATTGAACATACCTCCAGTGTGACTATTAATATTATAGTTTGTGCAGTGGTCAATCCAGGCCACAGACGAGACACCTGGCCGGACAGGCCAATCAGTGCACAATTGACAATAACCGCGGCCAGCGACAAAATGCTCAACGCATTCTGCCATGTGCCAATGTTGGCCACACGCTGCCCGAACGGTCGCTGATGCACATGCGCCAGCTTGAACGCATCCGAGCGTATCTCCATCAGGTTGTTAATTAGCGCACAAATCCCGGCCAGCGGGAAGGCAGCCGAAAAGAGCACAACATAGCCCATCTGGACCAACATCTCCAAATGATCCGAGAATGTGCCATCGTACTGAAAAAAAACACAAGTTAAACATTATTCAAAATAATTTCACGTTTTTATAACATTTAAATAATTGCATGTGGATTTTCTTTCTTTTTTATTTAGTTTACATTATGTATTGCAGAACCCTTTAATCATAGACATCCAACTTGTTGTGCGAGGATTTTCATAGATCTCTTACCTTATATAATGAGCTCTCGATCTCGGCCTGTCCAATGTTTCGCTTGCTTGCCGACTGCTGTTGTTGTTGCTGCTCCTGCTGTGCCACAGTTTTGGGCGTGGCAGCTGCCTCAGACTTAAGCTTCTCCTCGGCAATGGCCAATTCCTCGGCTAGACTACGATTCACATGCTGCGTGGGACTGAGAGCGCCCCACATATTAAAGCTCAGCTTGGCCAGCTTCCATTGCTCCAAGACATAGGGTATAGCCGATTCGCGTAAATTGCCAATTATTTGCCGAGAGATGAGCAGGCCAGCCAATTGCTGCAACATGTTGAGGAAGCATTTCAAAAGTGATGGAAAAATGCAATTTATTTAAATAAACCCACCTCTTTGAGTTTATCCTCATCGCGCAGATAGAAGGCAATGTAGAAGAGCGAGAGAAACGAGTTGACAAATTGGAATAGCGCCACTTTGGCTATCAAATGATTCTCGTATTTCGATTGCAGCCGATAATTTTCTACATATAGATTATCCATTAGAGTTTTTCCATATGGCTTAATTGTTTGTGCAAGCTTTTACCTCTGTCATTTAGCCAAACGGCCAGCTTAAAGTAGGCCTCATCCATCAAGGTAATGGCACCAGCCAGCAGCACCTTGGGTATCACACTCAGGCAGCACAGGACACTGTCCTCCGGCAGCTTGGAGTCCCACCAATCCTAACGCAGCAAGAAAGAAAAATAAATAAAGCTAATGAGTGCTTATTTACGCTAAATTAACCAACTTTACTTCGAGTAAGAAGAGGCAGCGGGTAGGCTTATTATTAACAAATAATACATAATTTCATTTTGCCAGCAATTCATTTATTACACACGCGCTTCATTTACCAAATCGAAGCTTAATTTGATTACATTATGATATATCCGTTGTGTGAGAGGCTCGGCAAGGGCTACGGCTCACGCTTTTGTGCACAACTTTGCGGTTCTGGGCATGGGATCAAAAGTGACATGCTGTCTCCGGGGCTAACTAGCAACAATTAATTGGCACTTTTTTTGCGCAGACTAGCCAATTTGAAGAATAACAATAGACTATGAGATACCCTCTATTAGAAGTGCATACACAAAATTTGCTAAATATACGAGCAATTTTTTCAATGTTGGCGCATAGTTTATCATGTAAATATCTTAAAATATTTCTACATTTCTACATCTTATGCAAATTAAACATTTGCAAATATTTTCAATAATTTAGTAAAATTGTGTATGTTTTGAATATTTTCTCATATATATACCAGATTTAGGATATTCCTATTTTACAATTTTTATATTTTTAGGCTAAAATTTTTCGCATATTAGTTAGTTAGTTATAGGTCCCTATGTATTTACCAAATTTTGGGGTATACCGTTCTACATTTAATTAACTACAAATTTTGATATTATAAATTTTCAAAATTTTTTTTATTTATTTCTTTATTTCTTGTTATATTAGCCCTTAATTCACAAAATATTCAAAGCGTTGAATAAAAAAAAATGCACAGTGTTGCAAAACGATAGTTAACACCAACACCAGGTGGCGCCTTTATAAATAGTTTTTCAGCACTAGTCATAAAAGATTTGATTTCTTTGAGATCGGGTTACAGGACATCCTCAAGCTGTACACTTTTGACCACACAATGTACATTTGTCAAATTATTTCTATGCAATGCTCTTAACAGGGATTTCAATATACCCTTTAGCCAGTCAATTTGTTGGGTGTTTATAGCACACAAAAAAAAACAATGCCTACCACAAACCGGCTCTCATTTTACACAATAACAAAAGCTGTTTGCGCTTTTTTAACTGCCTTCACTTCCGAGAGTGTGCGCGTGCCTGTGTGAGTGTGCGTGAGTGTGTGTGTGTGCTGTGTTTTGGTTATATGCGTGCGTCTCTTTTGTCTTGTTGCATAATTTTCATCTTAATTAGCAGCTTGTTGTAGCAAGGTAGTTGGTTAAACTGCCAACTGAATTTCATAATTTACGCAGCTCGCAGGCAATGGTAGCCTAGGACTAAGCAAGGACAATGAAAGGAACAAAGGACAGCGCATAATGAATGACTAAGTGTGCAATATGTTTCGTGCATTTTCATTAAAGTGTTTTACATAAAAAAGTAAGTATTCATTCTTTCGACAGCAGCTGTTGCTGATCCAACAGCTCATTCATGAAGAATTACAGTTGTGAAACTAAACAGAAATCTTTTTAGAAATTATTTCAGCACAGATATTACTTCTTTAAATCAAAGAGAATTCCAGCGCTTAGTTTATATTATCTTTTCTTAAAATCAATAATAAATCTTAAGAGTTTAACCTCATTCTATTATATATGTAGTATTACTTCTATATATTAATAGATATATATGCATATATAAAAACTTTAAAATATGGCGCTGTCGAAGGCCATTAACTTAATGCCAACCATAAAAGCTTAAATCCAATAAATATGTTTTTAAGCTCCTTGGTGCAACACGCACAGCTTCATCCCATGCACCTGACATTTGTATTAGCAGCTCGAGCACAGCGCATTAAACCTGGCGTCACAACACAGTTAGCTGCCACTTGGCCACACAGGTATTAAGCTCTTTTGCAACACTGCCCAACCTGCTGCACGTGACAGCCCCACACACACACACATACACATGCAGAAACAACTGACGTGCCTCATTATCGCAACTAAATGTTGCGCTTTGTAAAGCTTAAATGTCATTGTCCAAGGTTCAGTTAGCCGGAAAACTTTCATATACCCTGTACCCAAAGAAAATGGGTGTAGATTGCATCTAACAGTTGTTAAGCTGTACATACATAGTAAAAGATGCATATCTGGCATAACAAAGATCTAACAATAAGCACTGAAGTTATTTAAGAGTGAATTATCTTTAGTGAAAGGCAGCGTATGGTTAATGTACGATTTCTTGCTATAGCAGCTCGTAGCAGCATACAGGGTATCTTCTAGTCAGTGTCTAGATTTTCACTTGTTTATATTAAGCCAAGGACCCTGCATGAAAGAGCAACAGCAGCAACAAAGTGCATCAATCTAACATGGCAGCTACAACAGCAGGAATAACGAAAAACATGTCAATTGTCAGGTCAACTTGTGGATAGTCCCAGTGGACTTGGTTTCTTTGAAAAAGAGGACAGCGGAATGTGAAGTGGTAGCTCTTTAACACTTATGTGTGCATGTGTGTGTGTTCGTGTGTGTGTGTGTTGAGAAGTAAATTTTCACGCTGTGCTTCTGTTCTAGATATACAGATTTTAAATAAGAATAGTAAAAACAAATCTTTTTAAAACTGTTTACTCTTTAGATTGCCAAATCGAGCACGAGAGACTAGTTTTTATACCCTGAACCCATTTACAATGGGTAAAAATTGTATATGTTTTTTAAGTTCCATTCAGTACATTTTTATAGAGACAGAGTAAAGCATAGAGACAGCAGCAAATATAACTCTCAGCTATGTTGCATCTAGAAAGCTTTAAAATGTAAGAAGTATACATTTACAAATAATTTGTAGAATAAATAATACCGCTTTAAATATATCTAGCACGTTTTTTCAGAATTATTGAGTTAAGTGAATTAAAATTTGTCAGAATTGGCCACAAGCACAGCTGATTAGGCAACTAATCTAAGCTAACCTAAGCGTCCTGTGAGCTAAAAGTAGTTGTGAATTATAAGCCCAATAGCACTGTGTGTATATTCATATTATATATAATATCCCAATTATTTTTTGCGCATTGTATATTTAACATGCATGTTTATAGTTTTTTAGCTTACACTCATTTTTATGTTCAGCAATTCGTAAAAGTCTCAGTTTCGCAAAGATGCTTCTTAAAATGACTCGCATTTCTTTTAGCTGTCCTTACTTCTTTTATGATAAGAGGCTGCTGCTAGCTGCTAGTCTTTCAAGGACGGTCGCGGGGGCAACGGGCCAGCCTAAATGATTTCTTTGCTAAAGCTATTTGTGCTTCTTCTTGCTTTTGTTGTTGTTGCTGTTATTCCAAGCATTCAATTGTGCGTAAAATATGGCGAATGTCGAGCAGTGCGTAGTCCCGCATTTTGTCAATGCCAGTTTTTGGTTTCTATTTCGCTTTTCTGCTACTTCTTCATATTTAAACAGTGTCCTCGCCACAGGCGTCTTTTTTCTTCTTTCCTGCTCAACATTTTAATTAATGTCAACTGACAAGTCTGTGTGGAGAGTGCGTATGTGTGTGTGCCTTAAAAAAAATAGCTATGCAAATGGATGGCCAAAAGCATTTTGAAAATGTCTTGCAAAAGCTTGTGGAAAAAGTTTTAATTAAAACATGACCCGCAGATTCGTGGAATATGTAACTAACCACTGGTTTTAGCCAGCTAAAACTATGATTTGCTTTAACTGCTTTCCATATTATAGGAATTTATCGTACTGTTCCAAATTCGTATAAAAAACTTTCTCAACACACGGCTTTGCCAACACTGGCTTACAAATTCTAATTAACTTCAATCCGCCAGCCATTTTGAAATTTGAATAATTAAATTGAATAACTCACTAACATTGCTGTTTACACGGTTTTTTTGTTTTCAGTGTAAATTCGTTTGAATATTTGCCTAATACTGCTGCTAACACTGTCTTTGTCAATCAAAATCCCTTTGAATAATTAACTAACTCTGTTTTAAGCATCTGAAACGTCACTCAAGCAAACCAGAACTTTATCAACAATGTTTGAACAGTTTATCAACACAATTCTGGTTCATTTAAATTAAAAATACTTTATATTTCTCATCCTAGCAGTAAAAAGTGTTTGATTGCTTTCTCACACAAAATCTAACCTCAAAATGTTATGGTAATAAACGACCAATAAAATTCGTATTATTTGGTCTGGTATTATGGCCGAGTACTGCGTGTTAATAATGACATGATAATAAATTCTACTACAAGACCAACACGCATAAAATATAAAAGTTGAAATGTGAGCACAACATATTTATTACTAATAATAATAATAAGGTAAAAAAAATGAATAAAAACCTTGTGCAAATTATACATGCATTGAGCAATTCCTTTGTCGGGTATTTTATGATGATCCAGCCAATCCTGTGGAAAGAAAGAAATAACAAACAAACGGAAAAAGAAAACGGAAAAGAAAGAAAATAATTCAATGAGGCGTGATGTATGATAAATAACGTTTTCATTTCATTTGATTTTTTGTTACTGTATTTGTGTTTGTTTATTGGCAATGCACAAAAATAAAAGGAAACGAAAATGATAATAAACAAAAACACAAGCGACAAAAATGGTGTGCGCATAAAAAGTCAAATACAGCAGCACGAAGCAAACGGAAGCCGGGCAAATAAGTGTGTGAGTGGGTGCTATGTTTGTGTGTGTGTGTGTGTGTGTGTGTGTGTGTAGGTAAGTATGGTTGCTTATGCGGCTGTGTGTGTGTACTTGTATGCGTGTGCTCGTAAAAGCGCGAAGAGCAGTAACAACAGCGCTAATGAAATGCGAAAGGATACCGTTAAGCAAATTGATAAACACGCCCCACACACGCAGGCATTAGAATAAACACACTCACATATAAACGCAACCCCTCGAGACACACACACACACACACACACACACACACACACAGATTAGCAGGGATCGGGTTTATCATAAGTGTAAAACAATATTAATTATACGCACTGTGTGATAATCGTGCAAATTGCTCGAAAGGAATATTTAATGTGTAATACCCTTGCAATAAGAGCAGCTGTTTGGCTACTTAATTCAGTTTGTTAAGCTCTTCGAAAGCAGTTTATCTTCGATAAAGAAGATAACCATTTTTGCATTTTTAATTTAATAGCATAAAATAAAAATGTATTTTTTTTTTATTTTGTACTTTTTATTTAATTTATTTTTTTATTTTATTTTTGTTATATTTTTATTTATTTAATATTTTAAATTTATTCCATTTATTTTATTTGTTTTATTAATTTTATATATGTATTTTATTTATTTTGTTTATTTTATTTTATTATTTTTTTTATTTTAATTTATAATTATTATTTATTTATTTTTTAAATTTTTTTATTTTATTTATATCATTAATTGATTTATTTATATAATTTAATTTAATTAATTTATTTTATTATTTTATTTATTTATTCATTTTATTTTATTTAAAGTTATTTATTTAGGTTTTTTATGTAATCATTGCGTTGTTTTATTTCGAGTCACTGATATTTATGACAATAATGTATTTAACTAATAATGTTAATATTGCAATAATAACCTGTTTATAACAATTTTTGCTATAATACGACAGGTAGGTTCTATATAGAGCAAACACTTTATCAAAAAGACAAAGTTAGAGTTGCACCAAATTAATTTTATCAAACTATGCTCTCACTTGTTTTGCAAGGGTATTGAGTAGTCGGTAAACCGAAATATGTGCTCTTTTATTTAATTGATGCTTCACTCACCTGGAAGCGCAACATGAGAAACATCACAGCAAACACCATGCAGAGGCACAGTCCAATCACAGGAAAGCTGACCAGATAGCGAAAGGCGCGTCGCTGCCAAGCGGGCGCTTCCTTCGGCTCCAGGCGACCCGTCACATTGTTCTCCTCCAGCGGGCCCTAAAAACACAGCAAATCAACGGCTTAGTCAGGCAAATTGTAAGGTAATCAATGGTTACTCACCTTATAGAGGGGCCTGGGCGGCTCAAGCAGCTCTGGGGGCGTGGAAAGCGTGCCCCAGCGAAAGGCCAGCTCGACGGAGTAGCGTTTCCAGGCCTCCAAATACAGTGAAGCCCAGGCCACATTGAACAGCGAGAATAGCACATGGCCCATATCCTGAGCGGTTTGACCCTTGCCCCACAGTATGCAATAAAGTATGGTGCCAAAGACAGCGGGCACGCCCAAAGCGCAGGTGTAGTGGCCCAGCCAGGCAAAGTACAGTGCGACCTTAACGCCAAAATAGGCTGCTATGTCATCTGAAAAACATAAAAAACAAAAGTGAAATATGCAGTTAAGCAAGAAAAGGCAGCTTTCCTCGGCACGCCGAAGTTTAAATACCCTAATAGCCTTACGAGTTAGCAAATACTTGAGGGGAATTGTGAAACTGAGTTTAGGGAAGATCTTGGAAAACAGAACTTTATGTCATATAAAACCTTATTTTTAAACCGATTCTTACTTCCTTCCTTCTTCTATGTGATATAGTAAGACATATGATGGATACGATTGTTCAATATTTAAGGTTAAAGATATCTTGAATAAAAAACAAGTTTTTAAGACAAGAATCTAATTCTTGACCGATCTTTATTTCAATTTTTTTTTTAAAATATCTTTCATTATGCTCATATTTTTTAAGATGATTTAAAAACATTTTTTTTATATAAGCTAAATGTGTATCGCAACTGAAGGCAGACTTACCCAGCGGCTGCGGCGCAAAGATCTGCTTGACCCACTGCGTTTGGAGCTGTGTCAGGGAGCGGGTCTCGTGCAGCGGAAAGACCTGTGTGATTAGACCCGACTCCTGCCAGGCGGCGACAATGCTCTGGCCCTCGGCGACTGTGGCGCGTCCCTGCAACGCATCAATATCGCTGCAACCGGCGCGTAGGCCTTGCAGCACCTGCAGCACCAGCCACTGGCGCTCCTGGGAGGTGAACAATGCGGCGCTGCCCACATCGCCGCGCAGCTGCTGGAAACAGTGGCTCTCGCGGGTGGTGAACTCGCGCAGTGCGCCGCCCAAATCCGGACGTAAACGTTTCGGCAGACGTGCCTCCTCCGCCGCTTTAAACAGGCTGCGGAAGTAAGAGTTGATTGAGTTTTAGAATGATTCGGCTTAAAACATAAATGGAACCTTGATAAATTAATATGTATAATACTCAAGCAAATGAATTTAATTTCTAATTTCAAATATACTCATAAAATAAACCCATAATTATAAATTTATGATTATTGTCAATTATATTTGTTCCACTTACACATTAACTGGCGCGCTCACATAGAAGGCATTGCGTCTGGAGCTCTCGTGTGCCTTAACCTGAACTAACAGTCCCAGACCTGCTGGTGGCTGAGAGCGTATGCGGGCCAGTAGCCAACGTAGTGCCTCGTCTGGCGCATCCTCGGGAAACTCAATCACCACATCGCATTGTGTGGGTATTTTGTTGAGCCAAAGGCGACGCGGGGTCATTAAATGGCCGGCATAGGGCACTTTGCGGCGTAGTTGGCGGGAAGCTGCAAAAGAATTTCAAATTAATTGCTTAGTACAGAGCATAAAATCTGTAGGGTACAAAAAAAATGTTTTCTAGAATAAATTATGTGATCTATATCCTATTTATAAGCAATCTTTAAAAAGTTTATCACAATTCTAGTTTGTAAATAGTCTCTATGAATGGATAATTTGATGGAGTATTCCAAGCGAATATATCGTATGTTGCCTATAAGAATCTTCCATTCACACATTTGCATAGTTATAGGGTATAAAAAAATACGTTAAAAATAACTTTTGTTATGGTTCATTCCTAACGGAAAAAAACCTTGACAAAATAGCTGACTGTTTTTTTTTTTAATATTTGGCAATACATTTCTGTTGCGGTTTGTTTAGACCGAACGAATGCATATTTATAGACTGTAGCAAAAAGCTCACAACGCGTCTGATGTAGTATATAGTAGAATTTTGTGGGTAACAATAAAAAATTGGCGGCAGTGCAAACTGCTTTTAATGCAGGTAGCGCAAAAAAACAATAAGACCATTAGATGCAAATACAAAGCACAGCTGCAAATACGGATGCAGATACAGATACGAGGGGTGTCCTTAAAGTTGCAGGAGCCAATGCAAAGCAGTTAGGGGATTGTAATCAAGGACTATAATTGAAAATATATATAAAATATATAAATAATAATGTTGAAGATTAACAGTTTTTAAACAAAAGTAAAGAGAGCTGTTGGAGGCATCGGGTAACTATAACAAATAGCTGCAATAGGAACGATCAGTTGAAAGGTAGCCTCTTGCATGGAAAACTTTTTTGCTTATCAAGATATCTTGACCTACGCTCCTTATATATGTGCAAAATCTTATTAACATTGGACCACAATATCATTCAGCTGCCAAAGGAAGAATCCATGGATAAGTAGGTTTTTGTTGGAAAACCGTTTGTTTATGAAGATATCTTGAGCAAACTTGAATAATTTGGTTTACGATGCTACTGATAATATATGAGCAACATCTTATTAACAGCGGGTCACTATATCATTTAATTGTCATAGGAACGATTGGTTTAAAATTCAGTTATTGTATGAAAAACATTTTTGTTTATGAAGATAGCACTTCTTATTAGTTTTACTATGCTTCTTATATATGAATCATGTGTTGTTAACAACAGACAACTTCATGTAGCTCTATTGGAAAAACTAGGCGGAAATATATTTCTTGTATACATAATTTTCTTTTCTTCAAGTCACGTTCACCAACTCAGCTATTATAAGCTGCACAATTATAGAATAGAGTCGCTATTTCACAGGGGTATCGAATTTTCCTGGAGCCGTAAATATACGTTCTTTATGCATGTTTCGAGCAAATATAGTTAAAGTCGCGTTTTATTATTTATAGAAAAGCTCTCGAGCTTATGTGTCAAGGAGCGGCAGCAGCCCACATGACATACATAGCTCAAATATGACACAAAAAGCCGCACAGCCTGCAGTTTGGCATGTTGCATAACCACTGCAGGTACAAAAGACGAGCGTGGGGAGCGGTCGGTAAGCTAACAAACTAAAAAATAAAGGTAAATAACGAACCGCAAAAATTTGCCACAACTTTTAATTAGAGAAGGTGGCAGCCCGCTGCAAACTAACACAACAATAAAGAACACAACAACAACAACAATAAGTGACAAAAAACTTGAGCCCTGCCATTTGCCCACCCGCAGGAAATGCGAAAAGCAATGCGAAAAGCCACAAGAAAAATCGCAACAGCAACAAAAAAATTTGACTAATGACAGCAACGAAAGTCACGGCATGCCAAAAGTGAACCAGAAGGAACTGTGTACCTCAGACTTTGATATCTACAGCACCATTTGGCAGATACGCGAGGTCGTAATTAATAATGAGAATAAGTCAAGGCCTGGTCCGTGGCTGATAGCAAGCTAGAAACTTGCGGCAAAAGTCAAACTCAGCTGCATTTTGTTTATCAACCGCTTTCACTCCTCATTAAACAAATGACAAATGCAAGTGGCAACCTTTAATGGCTGCATCAATGGTTGCCAAGGTTAATTTTGGGTCAAGTGGCGCGAGCTTACTTCGCAGTGGTTCGTTGGGGAAAGAAAATTATATAAGCGTTTGGTTCTTTATGACCTTTAGCTTTTAAGTGTTGGCATTAAAAATGGTTGGTCTATATATTGTCAAAAACCTTTTCCTTTTGTTAGTTAAAGGTACTGTACAATGTTGCCAACTTTTTGGCTTTTTATTTTTCATAAAATTCATTTATTTACTTATTTATTAAACGACTTGTAAGCTCGTTGTTGCCATATGCGTATCTTGGGTTGCATAAAAGCATCAAGTTACTAACAATATTTAAAACTTAATTACAAAAATTATCTAAATTCGATGTCACAAATAGCTAAAAATAGCTGCATAAGATACACAAATTAAGCAGAAATTGGTAAAAAGCTTTGCTTAATCAGTTTCAAATTTTAACCTTTTAACTGGACCATTAACCTGACTATTTAAAACTGACAATCTGAAGACTCTGAAAATAGCTGAGTTAGCAAAACTGTTTACATGCAAGAATTTTAGCTTCAGTGGCATTAATATTGAGACTTATTTTATTATTGCCTATGAACCTGAATCCCCTGTGTTAAGTTATCTTATTGACTTGGACAGTTCGACACAGTTCTGATACTATATACTACGTAAACACTTTTTTTACAGATATATTATATTAAAATTTTTCTATAAATATATATATATATATATAATTACCTATATGCTACATTATGATTACAAGCATACTTTTTAGACATATATCCTGCTCTGGATTTTTTTAGGTAACTAAAGTATATCTGGGAACTTCGTCAAAATATATAGTTACTTTAGATAAATATCTAGCCTAGCCTCAATACACAGCATATTATCTAATACTATAAAATCAACTAAACATGTTACGGACCCGAAACTCATTGCAGTATGCTTTACTCCTGAAACCCTACATTAATCGTTCGCACTAACTATTCATGTGTGTGTGTAATACCTCTGCGGGGAGAGCAGCTGCGTGTGTGTGTGTGTGGGTGTGTGTTTTGTGTGTAATCCCTTCATTGTCTGCATTTTATGAGCAACGCGTGCGGTTCGTGTCGCCAATGAAATTGTAGCTCCCTTTTTGGGATTGGACCCTATGCGAGAAGCATATTAAATTGGCAAGCGGACATTTCGCATGTTCTTTGGGCGGGTTTATTGGCTTAAATTTGCATTGATAATTTGCTCGGCGGTTGGCAACACAAATTTACAGCTCATTTGCAATGCGGGCATCAACAAAATTGAACAATATTCATTGTATGTACAGGCCGGAATTACACATTTAAAGCTCAAATATATATGCATATATATGCTACATATATACATATGTAAAAATCCGTGCAGGGACACAGTTTGCTCCGGTTTTATTTATGGAATTAATTACCGCGCTTTGGATTTTGTGATTTATATACATTTATGCTGAAAATAGCAGTCAGCGTCTCCCCCAAATGGGCAGAGGTTGCGAGCCTAATGAGTTTTATAAATTTATAAATATTCGGGTCATGGGATCTGTTCGCTAAATGAAAAGCCGTCGATGAAGATTGAAATCTATCTAAATGAGTTTTGTGCATAAATAACTGCACCTAATCTAACTGAAATGCCAAACTCTTATTCAAGATAATTAGGGCTTTTATGCTGGGCTTATTTTGAATTATTTTTAGAGCGATTTCAGCTTGAGTTCACTTAAGGACTTTTTAATGAGCTAAAGTTAGTATTCAGCTATATATATAACAGCTTTTGTCCTGATTGGTGTCTGAGCGTCGAATTTACAAGCGGGAGGTCACCAGTTCGAATTCGGCAGCAATAGTAATAATACATTAACAACAACTTTGGTCAAAATATCTTGAAAATCAACTATGTTCTACCATGCTATATTCCGATATCATCCGGCCGAGTCCAACATATGTACTGCCTGCAAACTATATTTTCATTAACATGCCCTCTGCAAAGGCATTAAAGGGAATCCATGCCCAAAACTGCACAACTCTTTATGTGGACCACAGTCGACACCAGCTACAGTTGACACTCCAACTGACATCGCCGAAAAGTGCCAGAAAATGCGTTCGTCTGTTAAATCAACAGCAACTGGAGCTGGCAGGCGGCAGGGTAAAGATGCCAGCTGGAAGCTGTGCAACTGTGCCCTGAATAATTAATGAAATCGGCGGGCGTGTTGAAACCGCATTGAGGCAGAGCCGAGCAGAGCCTTGGTTGCCTCCAGGCTCGAGGCACGAGGCAGGCAAAGAGGTGGGTTTGGGAGCTGCGTAATTTGTAAGCGTTGCGTAAGCCCAAAAGCCGCTGGCCACCTAGAAGCGCAAGCAAGCAGCACCCAGCCCCACCACGAAATGGCTCAAACTGGCAACAACTAGCTTAAGCCCGTGTAATTGAGTGAGCCGAGACCGTTGCGAACATACTAGAAAGCACTCTGAAAGCAGTTTATGTTTTAATTAGCCGCGCGCTGATGACATTGACAAGCGTCTAAACTGACGAAAGAAACTCATTAGCAATTGCGCACTTAACGCAATATGCTCTAATTGACTAAACGCATTTAATTGAAATCAAATGATGAAGTTTTCATCATTATGTCGTGACATTGACAGTTACGAATCAAGATAGAAAGAAAATAGAAATGCAGATCTAACGCATTTCGATATCACGTAGAAAATTCGTTTTATAAATATATAGAATCTATAATCTCAAAATTGAGGTAATAAATATAATATTTGCATTATAATTCAATAATAAGTCACAAACATTCGCCCGATTTAATACAAAATCTGTATTTTCGATCCAACTATTCTGTTTAAGTTAAAAATTTGTAGCTAGAGCTCGTATCCTGTCGCTCATCTCTAAGTCAAGCTTATCAACTATTCGAGTCAGTTATTCCGAAAATCGGGTTCACATAAGCCCAAAACTGTTGCTTAAATTATTTTTATGAGGGCGTCAGCTAG